AAAAAATCTATAAATGTTTCATCGTCCACATTCTCCATTCGTTTGCGTGTAAGGAGCGTGTTCCTCGACACAACAATTAAAAACACATAAGCTGGTTGGATTGCATGGAAAAAAAATGACATGTATAGAGGAAGTCTGCTGTCTTTGAAACGAATACAGTAGCACACATTTTGACATTTAAAAAATAGCATGTGCACATAAATTAAAAAGTATATGAATGTTTACTGAAAAATCAATAAAAAAACTTAGGTGAACACTTGAATATAATGTAGAAAAAGGGGTTCCCATCATATATTATTCAAGCCACATTGTTTGGTGGACACATAAGAAACGCAAAACTACACTGACAGGTTCAACATGGCATAAAAATGAAAAAAGGTTCGTCATACAGACTTCGACACAGAAATATATAGAATACCCAACAGATGAGTATTATAGACGCAGCTCTGCTTGTCATCAGTTGCTGTGCCTGGTGCCTAGACAAGCTTCTTCAAGATAACCAGGACATGGACATCATCCCTCTCGCTGCTCTTGAAGCCAATAAGAACAGCTGTGTTGACTTTGAGTCCTCTGCTAGCTGCGAAGTTTTTCCACTTCTTGCTGTCAAACACAATGCGGCCATCATCAGTAGTTTTGTATGAGATTTTTTTGAATCTCCGACCATCCACAGAAATACCAACAACCCCCTGTTCTTCAAACGGCATGGCAGCAGCAACTTTCTTGGGTATTTTCTGTCAAAAAAACACAAACAGACATGAAAAAATGTGAGTGTTTATATCAAAACAATCAAACTTTCTTTGGTCTTTGAATACTTTAAAAAAGGGGTAAAAAACACAATTCAGATTTTTTTTTGCTTGAAAAAAAGAGCATACTGGAAAAAAACTGAGCACGAATATATGTTCAAAACATGCTTGCAGATACTAAAAACTAATATATATGCATTGTGTGTTCACATATATATGCCTGTAGCATACATATATTCCCCCCCGCCCCTTCTCTTTCAAGGAATCATATTTGCATTGTGTGTTCACATATATATGCCTGTAGCATACACATACAAAAAAAAGAAAAAACGAAGACAAAGAGATACATACCATCATGCCCAAGCGAATGTCAGTCCTTGTCAGGCGGTGAACAAAAGCAAACCCGATGAAACCATCACTGAGAGGCAGCAGCCCTTGTAGCTGAGCATCCTCTGTCTCATTAAGCAAAAGCCCCCTAGTGCGAACAATGCCTTCACCATCATCGCTTGAAGCTTCTCCATCCTCATTACCTGAATCTGAATCTTCAATGGGATCACCCTCTTCCATAGGCTGTTCATCTTCAGAGCCGTTGCCCACCTGGAACCACAAAATAGATGCCGTAGGTGAAGGTTCATCCAGGTGGAACACCACCATCTGACCCTTGCCCAGATTGTTGTCTTCATAGAACTTCCTCCAACCTCTCCCATACATAGTGCTCTTTATGCGACCCTTGTAACACTTTACAGTGTATGCCCGTTGGTTTGACACAAACGTCACCTTCTCTCCTGTCACATTGTTGAAATGGGCCCTTTCATTGCAAGGCACAACCTGATTTGAACAAAAAAACAAAAAAGTTAGGAGTGATGTCACGACAAAAAGTTGTGAGTATTGTGATGACATTAGTACAAAAAGTTAGGAGTTGGTTACCCCTGCATTCTTGAACTCCTCCCATGCAACCATGCTGAAACCGCTTCCCTTGCTCTCATACTTGCAATGGTTGAAACAAACTCCACAAACCCCCTGTACACATCAAAAAAGGAAGCAAAAAAAATTAGAATGGATAACTCACTAAAAAAAACACTTTACAGTGTCATTCTTTCACCTCAGAAAACATATATATATTTCGCAATGTATTCATGCAGCTTAATGATTGCGAAAAAAGCCCAAACACCATGCTTACCCGATGGTACAACCAAAACAAAAGTACTTATGCTGTAAAAAGACTAGTAGTTTCAGTTTCAGGAAAGAGAAAGAAACGAAAGTGTTGCTGTACATGTGGTTACTATTACACTCTTCTGAAAAAAAAGGAATTACAAACAAAAAGTAGTTTCGAATAGCTTCACACAGGGTCCGTTCAGGTTCCTGAAGCAGAAAAGAACCAGACTAACTGAACCTAACTGAACTTAAAACACATAAAAACAGTATGATCTGCCACTCTCCAGCACCTTACAACTGCATGAAAAACACACAAAAACACCTCCAATCTATTGGCTGCTTGAACAATAAGGACACGAGAAAAATAACTAAAAAAATCCTAGAGTCGATTATAGAGTTGAAGGTATTAAACTTCGCTTGATCCACACAAACAACTACCCTAATCTCTTCAGATATGAGGTATATCACCAACAAGAACTTTGGCACTATGATCTGCCACACCGACATTGCCGATCGACGTGCGTGAGCGAGAGACACTAATTTTTTTTCTCGAATACGCATGAGTGTGCGTATCATTCATTAAGCGAGAGACACTATTGTGCATTCAACATGCAAGAAAAACATAAAAAAATAAACTATGGACGCAATTCTCTGCTTCAAACTACTAATCAGATATTTAATACAAAAAAGAAAAAGAACGGTACCTCATCTTGCGGGGGGATTATGGACATACAAAAATCCTATCTACTCTACTGGATACATGGGCACAGTAACACATTCCTACATTGCAGCAGACATGCACTTAGCTTGGGCGAGGACCTCGTGTTGCTGACTCACAACAAGCCCCTGGACTAAAATCTATTTTCAGACTAAGAAGCTAACAAAAAAAGTGAAATTAAAAAGACTAAAAAGTGAGGTTAACTTGGCGTTAGGTCTGCACCACCTAACAAAAAAGGCCTAGCAGCCGCTTACTCTGGCCGCCCCCTTTGAGACACTACAAAAATACAACTTGAACTTGTTCGTACAAACTACCACCTCCAAAAATCAATCCTCCAATCTGTTGATTGCTTGAACAAGTAAGGATACAAAAAAATGCCTATAAATCCTGGAGTCCATCGTAGACTTGAATCTACTAATCTACACTCGATCCCCTACAGATCTACGGTGTAGCATCAGCAAAAACAAAGACAGAAAGAAGGACCCCAATCCCCTACAGATCTACGGTGTAGCATCAGCAAAAACAAAGACAAGAAAGAAGGATGGGGAAGAAAAATTAGGGGGGAACTCACTGCATCAGCAGCGCCGGCCATTCCCCTCTCTCGTCCTCTGGTTCGTCTTCTGATTTGATATTGGGGAATGGAGAGAGACGATGTGGATTGAGCTGTGACTGCCCGTTCACCTCTTCTTAATCACCATGGGGGCGGCCGCTTCCACTTCTCAAAAAACAAAACAGCAAAAAAAAAGCCGCACGGAAAAACAGCCCAGCCCACTACAAAAGCAAAACGCTCGCGCGGGATCGCGGTTCCACAAAGAAGAAAAGGAAAATGGGCCGGTCCACGCCTTACACAGGCCGAAACAAGGGACAAACCAGCCTCAGCGCAAATCTACACGCTCAGCATCGGACGGCTGAGCAGTCGACTGAGACTTCGCCAAGTCTCAGTCGACTGATTTTTAGCGGATCCGTTTCTCTAACCATCGTATGCCTGAATAGTCTCCCTCAGAAGGCAAAAAAAACATGCAAACCGAGCAACAAAAAACAGCAGATATCAATTTTTAATCATGCTGGGAGAGAGGGGGGAAGGATGAATCAAGAGTCTTGATGCAGACTTTGTCGACCATGGCTTGTGGAAGAAGGTGACCTATCCCCAAGGGGGCGGACACCCCCGTACAGGGTTGCCGTAGTGTGTCCTTGTTGGTGTCGCAGCCCGCCAAGGTGCGCGTGTCATAATATGTGTCACATGATGGTGTGGTGCAGCGAAGCTGAAACTAATTGGCAGCATTCGGCGTGCAAAAAGAGTCGTGCCCTGGACACCGTAGGAACTGCAGCCACCGCCAGCATCACTCCGCCCCCAAACCGCCTTCCCTTACTCCATCTCACTACAATTGAGCTCGACTTCTTGCTCATTGCTTACTGGATGGGAAACTGAAAATGGAAGAACATTAATAGCATATTTGTAGTAATAGATCAAGTCTTGTTGGAGTAATGCAGGACTAATCGTTAGCTCTATGCATGATTCATACATGTTATCACGGAATGAAATGCCTCACTCTATGCATCTAACTATATAGCTAGCTCGTCCTTCTTTACATGTGTGATTCAACTGGATCCATGGGTTCCTATATCATTCATATGATGTCTTTGATGGTAAGAGAAATCATATGTACATTACTCACCGATGTCACAAAGTGTACATACGTAGACGGCAACAAGTGAATAGAAGCTCGCTCACTCCCATTCAACTCTTAAAATCAATGATGATCAACATACCAAGAAATCATCATGATGGTCCATGTTAGCTTGTTTTACTGTTCCCATATAGTCAGCGTGAATGGGGCTTGTTCAAAGAACAAAAAAGCTAATACTTGATAGAGAGATAATTCACACTTTCAAACTTTTTCAGGGAAAAGGCTATGGGCCGAAACGAACATCAAGTTTGACATGCTACCGAATTAAACAGGGCTAACAAGTTCAATAAGTTCACTTCCCAACCTTTCGAGGAATCTCGGATTTACACACAAAATGTACACCATTTGTTTATCACACAAATCAGGAGGCACCAGCAATCATATATTATTACTCAACAAGTTAACTGTAATCTTTTTATTGTACTTGAAAGACATGTGCCCTGCAAAATAAAAAAGAAAGAAAGAAATGAGAGTGGAAGTGTAGATACAGGCTTGCATCAGAAGAAAATATATGATAACAATGAGTCAAACAATACATGGTAGTCGTAGAAGAAAATAAGACTAATGGCAAAAACTCATATATTATAAGATATAATGCAGACTAATAATACTTTTGGCCTTGCTGCATAATTGTGCAGCAAACTGATATGCATTCGTAATTCCATTTAGATTTTAGTTTAACCTACTAAAATTCGTGATGTATCCAAATGTTAAGTTATGGCACTCAAATGCATTCCGTACATAAAGTCCAGCAAACCCTAAAATCAAAGTTTCAGTGAAGAACTAATCATTTTTAGCCCAACATTATTTAGAGCTTCATTTGTATTGGATACAATACATGTTCCTGGCCATAGGTCTTGAAAGTTTTTCTGTTCGTCAAAGTACTCACCTAGTTTGGAGCTCACTTCTTGGCACTAATCATTCAGAACTGTATACGAAATAGCAACACACCTGATGAATGCAACACCAAGGCTTACATTAGGAAGAGAAATCAACAATGGGAGTTCTAACTAAACTGACGAACCAAATGATCTTGCATGCTGCCTGCAGATCTACACATAACAGGGAAATGAACTATGAGTTCAGGAAATATGGAGCAAAAAAGGCCGCACAACCTTATACTTAAACGGAATAGAACACATATACCGCTGTTCTGACAGCAGCTCCAATCCGCAAGTAGAACATCAAAGAGCAGACAAAGAATTAAAGGAGAAAGGAAGAAGATCAAACCCTGTGTAATCGAACGGAAGATGACATGGATCCCCGCGAGCCTATTTTGGGAGCTTCAGCTACTGAACTTTTCTGGACAACACGCTTGGTTTCAAATTTTTTAGGGTATGTAACTCGTACTGTTGCATGGGTGAAACTTTAATTTTACTTGGGAGCTTTTTTCATTATAAACCATCTTATTCTGAAGCAAACGATTCCTCAGGTCTCCAAGGATTGAGGAAGCTCATGTATGTGGACTTCAGTAACAGCAATGTGCAAGTGAGCGATGTCCCAGTATCTGTCAGCAAATTGGTTTCTCTAGAAGTCTAAATCTCAAGGGAAACAACATGGGTGGGGCTCTTTAGAATATAGGTACTGAAACAAACAAATTTAACATTCCCATTCATTTGGTGCAATTAAATTTTTAGTTATTTTTAAGGCATGCATACATGACAGGTTTCAAAAATCACCGTAAGCTGCGTTGATGCATTTGAGACGCAATCGATTGAGCCGTAGCCTCCCACCAATTTTACTTGCACTTACATTACTTACTTGGATTTTTCAGACAACCTCTTTGGAGATTCAATCAATTGAGTGGTAGCACTTGAAGAACGGGTGCTCAGATGCAGCCATATACTCATATAGTCACCATGGTTGATCAGACGCCAAAACAAACTAACCAGGGTTAGGTTGAAGAAGAGGAGAAAGAAGAAAGATTCTCATTTCGATTTACAGAGCAAATCAAGAACAAAAGAGGTCACCTCGGGATGGATCTTGCGGCAGTGGAGGAGGCCTAGGAGGAGGAAAACACATCACGAGGCCTCTCTCTCCCTTGCGACCTCACCCAGTCCTTCCCGACTCTGGAAGCCAGAGGGGATGGGTGATGGAGCGGCGACCAGGGGCGCGGGGACAGGGAGGCGGCTGCGGAGATGCAAGAGGCAGAGCAGGTGGAGGCGGGCGGGGTAGCGGGGATGCTGGAGGCGGAGAAGGGACAGCGAAGCGGCGGGGTGTTGGGGGTTGGGGCCGGCGGCGTGCATGTCCAAAGCTGCACACAAGACAACCGGGGCGTTAGAAGCGGCGGCGCGGCGCGGAGCAGCGGGGAAGAGGGAAGGAAACGAATCAGGATTCTCTTCATCAGTTTTTTCTTGGATTTTCGCTAAAAGTTACAGCTACATAAAAAAATAATGATGTTTCACAATTTAATAGTGCCATATGGAAGGAATAGCCACGTGTTCAGAGACCTTCCGTCTTGACTCTTAAGAGAAAAATGAAATAGAAGTGAGAGAATTAGTTACAAACACATAAGAAAACATTAATATATGTTGCATATACAGAACTATGGCTTCGTTTTAGCTTCGGCTGCCTGCTGTTCAGGAAGCCGAATAGAAGTGGCCCACCAATCCATTATTAAGATCAACTTAAGCAAAAATTCAAAAAAAAAATCAACTTAAGAAAACATTAACCATCAGATGCCAACATATTTTTAGAGTTCAGTCAGATTATGAGGATTTAGAAGCAAGTCATTCTCTACAAAATTAAAGAGGAAGAAAATCAGGTTCATGCAACATACAGGGTACAATCCTTCATATTCGTTTCTACTTCTCCATCAAAGTACACCGGCTTCATCAGCGCATCAAATAAACATGGACATAAAAAGGTTCAAACCAATAAGGTAACCTACATTTGCTTGTACAGAAATGAGTTCACCAGTTTGCATTATTTCTGTGAATAAAATCAGGAAAATAGAAGTGGTGCTCATGCAGAAGCTGCCATCAGCAGCTCGTTATCAACTCGATCGCGGATCCTCCTTTCCAGCTCAGGCCTGAAGTGCCTGATAAGACCCTGCACAGGCCATGCTGCAGCATCCCTGAGGGCGCAGATCGTGTGGCCTTCAATCTGCTTCGTTGCCTCCTGAAGCATATCGATCACTTCTAGCTTTGCATTGCCCGTACAAAGTCATCGGTCTAAATTAACTACTCTATGTCTTGCTCTTTTGTCTACATATCATCAACACGAAAGCAGATGAGTTTGAAAGTTCACCAGCATGCTCTGCATTGCCACTTGACCACCAGGAAGGAACAATGGATATACTTTTGAAAATGGCAATGCACGTATCAAAACGAAGTGATTCAGATAACGTAAATACCAAGATATAACCGAACAGTATTACATTCAGGGGCAACACAATACATGTGGCAAATAAATATACTATCTCGATTTCACAAATGTTGCATTGGTGTAAAATACTATAGATGCAGGAAGTAAATTCAATCACCATATGTTCACTTTCCCTTTTTATCTCTATCTGCCAACAAACATGTAGAACAATGCATAGATTAAGACTGAGCTTATTATCAGTTGCAGGCTCCAACCTGTATAACCACGAACATGCATAGACTGCAGAAAGCATGCAAAAATACATCATTCAGTACTACTTAACCTGAAATAAATGTAAAATCGAACTCAAAATTCTCAAAAAGGAGAGAAGGGGATGACCTCATCACATAGCCAAAATTGAAGCCATGTGAACTAAACCACCTGTTGCAAGAGTGTGATCCGGGGGTGTTCCTATGCTAAGCCATGGTCACCAGTGGTGTGGATCCGGCGACTATGCAGATACATACACTTTTTTTTTCTGTGATTCGCATAAATGTTAACTAAAACACAATGAGAAAATAATTATGTAGCCACTGAA